TTTTTTTTTTAATATAGTTCATACTATAACAAAAAACATAAAAATGTAATTTCTAAACTCTGTTCAAAAGTCGGGAAAACTCAATAAATTTTCATGCAAATTTCCAATTTTTTAATCAGATTTTTTAGAATTTATTTGAGTACGCAGTTTTGTAGCCCAATCAATTTTGAACGAGGTCAAGTGTGTTCACAAACCACAAATTTATTGCACTTCATACAAATTAAGCTTTCTTACTTGTCCATCATTCCATTAAAATGAATCTGTCTTTATGTATTTACTGATTGAAAAGTCAAGTCCTGTCGGCGCTGACATTTCTCAAGTAAAAGCAAACAAAGTCGAAAAGGAGGATAAAACCAACCACCAAAGCACAACATTTTTTAATACATAGATATTAATTTTTTCGATAGAAAACGTGCTTTAGTTGTGTTGTTTGTTTTAACACAAACAAAAAAATGTTGCATAAGTTAAGTATGTATTTATATGGATAGGTTTCGAAAGAGCGTCAGTAAAAAAAATTTTCTAAAATCAACCGTTATTTGCAGCTACTCTAAACTTGCATTTTGTTATACTAAAATTGAATGGGCTACAAGACTACGTACTCCAAAAAAATTCTTACAAAAAAGTATGATGAAAATTTGTTGAATTTTCTTTTACGTTTCGATATGGAGGCTATGCTCAAGTGTTGTAGTTGTAATTTTTAGAGCTTCACATAACGCTTATTGCATGAGAACTAGTGATGCGATTTCAAAGAAAAGTGTGCCGTTTCAAAGACAAAATTCCAAGCCTATCGACAGATTCATTTTTGTAAGTAACCAATTCGGTTTCTGTCGATAAATATGTGCTTATTTTGGTGTTATTCATAACCTTTAAAGTGCTCTAGCAACTTATGATTTGCAGATATAATCTTTATTTTCGGGATATAGGTTCCTTGGAGCAACAGAAATATTATTGTGTACAAATTTGAACTTAAACGAATTACTACGATATGGATATCAAATAAGATGACATTGAAGGAACTTTATTTCTAAGTTGCCACCCTTTTACAAAATCAAGTTCAAATTTAAATTAAGGTGGTTCGAAAATTAAAATATGTATCCAGATACGAGCGTCAGACGAAAGAGACTATGGAGATTTAAAAGAGAGTTGCCCAGCTCTTTACAAAGTTGAATTCCATGTAATGAATTACTTAAATATGGATATCAATCGAAACTGCTTTGAAGATATTTTATTTCTAAGGTAACTGAAGGAGGGTTGCCACCTGTTCTAAATTTCAATGTCAAGCGAAGGAGTATTAGGAAAAATTTAGCTTAAACACTAAGGATATTAAAAAGGGCTGCCACCAGTTCAAAAGATGGGTAGCACTTGAGATGGGTTCAAAATTCAATTAAATAAAATCAAAACTAATGTACAGTTTTTTAACCTGAATATGCTCATACTATTATCACGTATTCTACGTTTTAGTTTAGCGGCTGTGGCTCTGACACAACCCGTAGGTCAAGACGAAGGCGCTGGACTGATCCTTTTTTAGATAATGTTATGTATTTTAATGGAAAGTAATGGAAATTTAATAAAAGAAAAATACCCCGAAAAATAGCGAAAAAGCGTTGTCCCTGTTTAAGTGTATTATGTATATGCTTAGATACATATTTGCGCATTAAATAAGTCCGAAATTGGTTCCAATATAAATGGATGTGGTAGGAAAAAACCATCTTTCAATACTAGGAAACTAATATGGAGTAAAATATCAGATCTCTTAAACTCAACAAAATGACTTAGGCAAACATGTACATATGTACAAATACATACATGCACAAATTAATACATAATGCATGGAAAATAAAATGTAGTTGGCGGGACCAGCGTGGTTCATTATGACTTTATTGTTGTGCTAGTCAGAAAAGTGTGTTGAGGGAGTTGTTTTGCAGTGATTTTATTTTATCACTGATATGTTTGTATTATATTGAAGTGGATCTTCGACTTCGTTAGTATTCAAAATAATAATTTGTGTTCGCAAAACTAAAATTATGTATATATGTCTGAATGTAGATATATGTATATCCATTTATAATTTAATGCATGACTTTTATATTTTGGTATTTAGTTTGCAAACAGACGTTCGAGATCGCAGTGCAATTATGCAGCAGCTCCACCAATTCAGCTTTAGTGCAAACTTTGCGCGCATCGCCTTAATCAGTTGTCAACTTGCAGCACTTGTCAGCAGTGGCCATGAATACTTGAGAGAGAAACGTAAATAATTGCTGATAAAATAAAAACTTGCATAGATGCTTGAAAAATGCAAAATTGCCTGCTTACCCAGAAAATTTGATTTAATTTCGTTTTGCAGCTTCATTTCTGCAGACATGTCAATTGCACGATGCCAACAATGGTGAATGTCTGGCGAATGCCTTCGAAAACTTGTTCTCCAATTGGCGCAGTGGTAAGTGGATGGAAGGTCTCAGCAGCTATAACTGCTGTTCAGCTGTCATTCAAAGTACATACTCAAAACATTGTCTATCTGCTGGTTTTTGGTGTTTAGGTGTGCCTGGATTGAAAGGACTCAGTTCAATTGACCCATTCCATGTGAAGCGCGTGCGACTGTCACAGCAAACGCCCAACTTGGCCGACATAAAAGCGGAGCTGACCAATGTGACGGTGTACGGCATGAGCGACACAAAAGTTTTGAAAACGTCGTAAGTAAGCGATTATCTTAAATTTTTGGATTAAATAGTGTATGAAAGGAAAAATATCCGTTTAGCGTCAATGATAAGGACTACACGATTGAGTTCAAATTGCTTTCGCCTGCTGTGCATATGGATGGCGATTACAAGGTGCAAGGGCGCATTTTGATTTTGAATTTGAATGGAGCGGGAAAGATTGAAAGCAATGTTGGTATGTAGCAGCGGTTTTTTTAAATTTTTATAATTTTTTTACTACTTACTTATTTTCCATTATTTACCGCTTCGTTACTATTTTTCCTTTTTTTTCCTTAAATAGGAAATATCGAATTTCGCGTGACTTGCAAAGCAAATCTCATACAAATCGATGGAATCTATTTCCTGGATATTATTGCGGCTTCGTCATACATAGACAAGGTGGGCAGCTTTAAAATACATTTTTCGAATCTCTTTGGCGACAACAAGGAGCTCGAGGATAGTGCCCACGATCTGTTCAATAATAACTGGCGTGAACTTTTCGAAATCATGCGACCGGCCTTTGCGCAAACCTTTAATACCATTTTACTCGACCGGTATAAAAAGATTATGAGATATGTACCGGCCTCCTACTTTTTGGATGATTTACCATAATCTTGATGATAACGCTAATTTATTTACTATAGGAGTCTGTTAAATTTAAAGTGACTTGTGACTACATACATATGTGCGTGCATGATACATGTGTGTGTGTATGTACATACAAATATTTTATGAAATATCCCTGCATACCATTTTTTCAGAGTATTCTGAATCGTAAAGAAATTTTAAAGAATTCGGAAAGATCCCATCCGATTTTTTGCCGAATTTTCTAAAATGAAATAAATTACGCACACTTCCATTCTTTTACGAAATTTCGGAAGAAAATCGGTAAAGAAATGAAAATAATGCTGCTATGTGAAGAATTTCTTGCAGACTTTTTTCAGAATTTTTCGTACAGAAATTTCTTTACGAGTTCGTGTCAACCACTTCATATAATTTTCTTTGAAGATTCGGAAAAAAATCGTTACAGAAATCAGATACTCCTAAAGATTTCGTTAAGATTTCGGGAACTTTGGTTTGCAGGGATTTTACATACATTACTGTGATAAGTGATGTAAAGCCTATGATAAGAAAAAGAATACTACATTTACATATATGTACATGGCACAATAATAATTATTTCACCATGCTATATACGAGTACGTATGTACATATGTATGTTGTATATTGGACTGTGTGAAAAATGCCCTTTTTTAACAACAATTTTTGGAATATTTTCGGGATAGTGAAATAGGACGCCTGTCAAATGTAGACTTTCTATTTCTATTTTCCAAATATATATGTAGGTACGAGTAAATTACAAGAATTTTTATTTTTGTTAAATTTTTATTTTTTATAACTCGTAGACTTAATGAGCGGTGTATACTTTTAAAGGGAAATGAAGGCTGTAAAAAATTATATTCTGCCTTATCCTGACTTTCGCCTAAAAAAAAAAATTCACCAGAAAATTTGTCATCCGCCCATAGTAAAATCATGGAAACCAAAAGTGAAAAGTGAATCGGTTAGGGGAAAATGAGACTCATGATAAGGCTGGTTATGATTTTTGTATTAATTCACTCCTCCAAAAGTTATTCAAGGTTAATGTCAAACATATAAAAAGTTTAAAGATTTTTGAATTTTTCGGCAAAATGTGAAAACTTATCACCAGTTTCTATATGACGGAGATAACTATTAATCAATTCAAATGCTCCCATAATAACACTTATTGAAGGAGAATCACAATAGCAGTCGGAGGTTAACCGAAACCTTTTCAACAACGCCTTATTGGTTGCTCTCAGAGGGAAACCTTTATTGATACGAAATAAAAATTGTTCTTAAATAGTCAAGGTCGAATATAAGTGAGAATTAAAAATAAATCTCCTTCGATTGTATACGTACACTTTATATGTAAACACAACTCAACTTGTACTTGATTCTTAATCTATTATTCAGGCAGGTTGTGCAATTGACTACCCGGATCAAGACTACCTCCTATCCGAATACCTGGATAAAAATAACCTACTACCCGATTGAATAAAACCTCCCACTCGGGTACCTGGATGAAAATAACTAGCTACCCAGACACCCCGATATACATATATTAACCTTTCCCCTGATGACCGGACAAGAATAACCCGCAACCCAAGTACAAAGAAAAAATCTACCCTACCCGGGTACTCGAAGAAAGATAACCATCTATCCAGGTACTCGGAGAAAAAACTCTTACCCGGGGAATCTGGCACATATAAACCCATATCAGGTACTCGTGTACCCCAGGCACTCGGATAAAGATAACCCCATTTCGAAAACATATATAATTTTGTTTAACTAAGGAGTGCAATGAAGTATAGTCGTTTTCTGGGTATACAGGTAGCAATCCCCTTGGATGACGGCAAAAAGAGAGCGAGCTTCGGTGGGACCACTCCAATTGATTAGTTTTTATGGCCCACTGAAAACTGCAGGCTCTGTTCACTAGTAGGTGTGGCTGGAAGGGAGCGTTTGCCTTGAAGCAAGCGGCTCGCTATATAAATGTGTATTCCGTTAAGAAACCACCTCCCTCCCAGAAATTGGTCGGGCGCTGGGTTTGGGACCCGCCACGTAAAAGCCCCTTTCAAAGAATAAAGAAAATAAAGCCTCGAAAGAAACCCACCCTTTTAATTACAACCACTTCGAATATTTAAGAGACTACGGTTTGAGGGCATGCACCTCGTATGGGACAAAAGCGGGCATCACCGCCATCAAAGAAATGCGTTACAAAGGGGAAAGTCAAAGAATTTCTGGGTCCTTCGTGGATGCATTTGTGGTGGGAGAGAGACTCCGTCACCGAGTACTGTGGACGAGCTTTCTTCAACATCTCGCACATTTGCTCCCATGCCCCGTCGGAGGAGAAGGACGAGGACGGATCCCTACGAGCGCTTGGAGCGAGAGATCGAAACGATCATATTGTGATAGACGGAAGGCACGCTTCCAGTGTTTGAACGTTGGGGAAGATAATAAGAGCTGCAGAACTGAACCGGTCAGGAACAATTTGCTACGAGAGAGTGCAATTGGTGGCATATGTCGGTGGCTTAGGTAACAAAAACCGCGAAGTCTGTTTTGCCTATAATTCTCTCATGCCGCCAGTGGTATTTGGCATCGCCAATGGACAATGGTCTGTAAATCTTCGTCATAATCTTCCCTTGTTTTTATCGAATACGAGGGTTCTTAGTGCCAACTATTACCGATAAGGCCAATCCATTTCACGCTTCACACATAACTTTTTTTTTAATTTTAAAATACATACACATAATCTCTGACAATCTCAGCAAAAAATGCCGAAAAAAATCAACGCTACCATACATTTTATTCCAGTAAACTGAACTCATTTTGAATTTTACTCGAGCTAAAATTGAACATGAATCATGAAAATTGAATAGACGAGTTTTTCGCTGCAAAAAATATTGTGCATGTAAAATGAGTTGTGTCAATTTCGTAAAAAAATAGAAACAAATTGAAATCTGTTTTTGTATTGAAAAAACTAAACGAATATCCTGCAGCTAAAAATGGAAAGTCACCGAAATAGACAACTTAAAAAGGCAACCAAGAAGTCACATCAGATCACTTATGAGAACGAAGATGCTGCACGTTCAGCACTAATAGAATTCTGTATCTATGTGTGCTTCCTGACGGTGACGCTCTTAGGTGAGGGGCTCTCGACTTCGACGTACATATGTACATAAGTTAGTACTAAAATTCTACTAGAACTTTCATTCATCACACAGTTGCGACATCTTCACGCCACATGTCAATGTATTTCTTCAGCAAAGGCATCGAAAATCTGTTCTTATCGCGCGAAGTCAACACGTTTACACACGAAGCTTCCGTAAGGTTCGCCGATTTGGCTACAACAGCCGATATGTGGGCATTTTTGGAAACGAAATTCATTATCGATCTACATGGTGTTGGCGATACAGGCGATGGAAATACAGGCGATGGAAATATAGGCGATGGAAATACAGACGATGGAAATACAGGCGATAACGCTTCCCAGTCCAGCACGTCGGGTGAGCGTGCCGCGGGCACCCATAGCGTGGAGAATAAGCTAATTTTTCTGGAACAGAACCTTGTATTAGGCCCACCACGCTTGCGTCAAATACGCGTGAAGGAGGGCAGTTGCGATGTACACGATGTCTTTGGTAGATATTTTAATAAGTGCTATGCGGATTATTCGAGTGGTGTTGAGGATACTTCCAAGGAGTTTAAGAGGTAGATGGATAAGAATGAGATGCTTCTATTTTGTTTAGGGTAATTAAAACCGTTGACAATTTACAGCGCCAAATATAAGACGTTGAATGAGTTGGGAGCTCACTCGATTTGGGGTGAGATCAGCACTTATCGTAGCGGTGGTTTTGTGAAGGACTTCACCTACGACTTCAACGAAAATAAGCAAATTATGTCCAATCTGAAGACGGAAAAGTGGCTAGACCGCGCTTCACGTTTGATAATAGTTGAATTCACGCTGTTTAATGCGAATCGAAATATAATGAATAATGTTAAGTGAGTCGCATTTGTAAGTTATTTGGGAGGCTTTTAGGTTTGTTTATCGCGATTTATTTAATTTTCAGATTTATTGGCGAATTGCCCTCGACTGGTGGTGTTGTTACTTCGTATAGCATACAGTCAGTTAAAATGGCATCGGTCTTTTGGAAGGACGGCATTTGGGTTCTGCTGACAGGCATACTATTTTATATGTTTATCATCTATTATACAATAGTTGAGATTATGGAAGTCCTACGTATCGGTGTGGCGAATTATGTGCGTATAATGTGGAACTTTGTAGATTTTTTGATTATTGTGGTGAGTTTGAGAGCTTTGGTGCATATTTACTCTGCAGCTTTCGCTATTTTTATGTGAATCTCATCCTAAATTACAGCTAGCCTACCTAACATTGATCTATAATATCTGGCATCCGTTTTATGTAAACACGTTGTACAAGAAATTTGAAGAAAAGCCAAACGAATTCCTGGTTTTGGACACCTTCTGCTTCTGGAACCTAATGTACCGCAACACTTTAGCAATTTGCACATTTTTGGTTTGCATCAAAATATTCAAATTCATTAGCTTCAATAAGACAATGCGACAGTTTAATGCAACCGTGAGTACGGTAAGTTCAAAACTAACTTTGCAGCTTCCCTTCTAGTAAATTAAAAGACACCTCACTTCTATGCTTTCCTCTGCAGTGCTTGCGCGATCTCTTGGGCTTCAGCGTTATGTTTGGCATTGTCTTTCTGGCCTACGCCCAGTTAGGTCTGCTACTATTCGGCAACGTGCATTACGATTTTCGCAATTTTTATGAGTCATTGCTGACGATGATACGCATGATCTTGGGCGACTTCGATTATGAGGGTATCGAGGCGGCTAATCATGTGCTGGGTCCAATATACTTCCTAACCTACATATTCTTGGTGTTCTTCATATTACTGGTATTGCAGCTTCTAAAGAGTTTCATTATAAGCAACAAAAGTGCTATGAAATTTTTTATTCCACTTCTGAATTTTAGAATATGTTTTTGGCTATCATCAACGATACCTATAGTAGTGTGAAAAGTGAGGTACAAGGTGGTCGCAATTATTTAACACTGTATCTGCGTAAGTTGCTGCACAAATTTTGTCCAAAATGTTGTCGTCCGGCGGCACAAAGCGATGAAGAACGAGGGCCGCACACTGAGAGCAGGCGAGAAGGGGATCAATCAAAGCATTCGCTTCGAAAAGATAACGCATCCGAGTAAGTGTGTTATATTTAAGAGTACGTTGCAGTATAACTAGAATTTACATAAATAATCATTAAATTTTCTTTCAAGTTATTTTGAACCCGTCAGAAGACAAGAATCGGAAACACAAAGTGCAGAAGCTGCTGCGATTAGTCGGTAAGGTCGATTCAGTATACGCGTGATCGAATGAGACTTGAAGCGTATATATGTAGGAACATGATTAGATCGTTCTCAAAGAAGAAAATCCTTGAACTTTTTTTGTGTATAAACCAGGGGACGGGAATGCGTTTCAGTTTTGGTTTAGTTCTGCATGAGAACAAAATGTTATATCAAGAACGTTCCCACAAACGAACTAAAGGAGAACAAAAGTATTAAGATCAGTTTGAAGAGGAACAAAATGAGAACAAAAGGTAAAAAACAAAATGTGAACAAAACTTTCGAAAACGTTCTCAAGACGAATAGAATGAGAACAAAACTTTCGCGAACGTTTCCACTGAGAATAAAATGAGAACGTAAGTACCGATATCATTTTCAAGGATAATCTAATAAAAACAAAAGTCTAGGGGACGTTCTGCTAGAAAACAAAAGTTTTCAGAACTTAACGTTATGAATGAAAGGGTGGTCTTCGTGTTGGGAAGAAAAATCCTTTCGGTGAGAACCATAATTTTTAGTTCTAAGTCAGAGGAAGCCTGGTTCAATTAAACTTCGACATCGTTTATCATTAGGGTGACCTGAGCATTTATGGAAAATTTTTAATTTCTTGTGCAAGAGAAGTTCGCGGTTTAAGTCCTTCGTGGACTGAAAGTTCCTGGGACTTTAGTTCCCAAATTGTCCTTCGAGAGAAAGTTCTTTTCTAAGAAGTTGTGGAGACTTTTGTTCCATTTTAATCTCTTTGGAATCATTCCATAAGGGTTTTCTCTAATATAATTTGCATTGAGAATGTTCTCGACAGTTTTGTTCTCAATTTGGTTGCAGTTTTGAAGCGTTCTTGGGAACAAAAACTACGAAAGCAAAATTTAGTTTCGATCACACCTTTTGTTCTTGGTACGTGGTTAGCTGTCGGTATGGGTATTTTTATATAAGGGACCATTTCGAAGCTTGTTAGACCGTTTCGGGGCTGTTAAGTACAATTTCAGGACCATTTCGAGACTAGTTCAGGACAGTTTCAGGAACATTTTGGATCTAGTTTGGCTTTGGTTTTGGGACTAGTAAGATACCATTTCCTGACCATTTCTAGACTTGTTGTCGGGACAAGTTCACGACTTTTCAGAACCATGTCAGATCTACTTCAGGACAATTTGGAATTAGTTCAGGATAATTGCGGGGTAGTTAGAAACTAGTCAAGAAATGACATATACAATCTCACGGGTACCTAGTACTCACGCTCTCTTTTCTTTTTAAAGTTTTGACTCATTCTTTCACGAATATCGCAGTTCGCTAAATATTTTCCTTGTTAATAAAATTTTCGTTTTTCCATTGACAGTTTGACGGCGCGTGTTGCCGCTTTGGAGGACGTCATCGAACAGCTGGTGGGAGATGTCGATCGCACAATGCGTAAAGTTGTGCCGCGGCGGCGTAAACGGCCGAATAGTAGGCAAGAAGCGTCATCGTAGGTGGTGAATTGTAAATGGGAAGCGTCAAAATATATAAGAGAAGAGAACAATACCAGTGCTTTTGTGTACAAAAATATGTCCCAATTCATACATATGTATCGTTTTATTAGTTGCAGCAATTGTTTTGCAAAAGTTATTGTCTTTTAGTTTATTTAGAAAATTTCATTGCATTTCGTTAATATTATGAACCAAATAGGCAAGAAATGAAGAAAGGAAGAAAAGAACAAAAAGCTGTGTTACTATATACACATATTTACAGTGCCGAACAAAAGTATTGGCACAGAGAATTTTTCGCAATATATGCAAAGTTTTTTATTCTAATTTATTTTCAATATTTTTTAATAAAAATATAGTTCGTTCTTCACCAAAAAACATAAAAACAAAATCTCTAAACTTTGTGCAAAACTCAGAAAAATTCAATAAATTAATTCTAAGTATGTAGTTTTATAGCTCAACTAATTTTAGTACAACAAAGTGCAAGTTTGAAGTATCTAAAAAATTGCGTTGATTTTTGGACATTTTTTTAGTAGAAGGTGTTGCGCATTTTCTCCATACAAAAAATAATTGTCGAACATACTTTGTACGGAAGAACCTGACTGATTTTTTAGCACCTTCAAGCTTGCACTTTGTTATACTAAAATTAGTTGAGCTATAAACCTTCATACTTAGAATTTTTCTAAAAAATCTGAATAGAAAGTTGCAAATAAGTATGCAAATTTATTGAATTTTCCTGAGTTTTGCACAAAATTTAGAGATTTAGTTTTTATGATTTTTGGTGTAGGACGAACTATATATTTATAAAAAATTATCGAAAATAAATTAGAATAAAAAACTTCAGATATTGCGAAAAATTCTCTGTGCCAATACTTTTGTCCGGCACTGTATATGTATTACATTTGTTACTTTTCACAGAATAAATTATGCGATATAGATATAGAGAGTAAGTAATCTTCGCATATTAATACGATAGCTAAAATATTGCAGCATTGATGTCGCTGAAATCGAGCAGTGATAGATACATTTTGCTGCTGCTGATGTTAAATTACCGTAAAATTTAGCGCTACTTGTGAACTTTTTTTTAAATCTCTCGATTGTAAGCTTCTTTAGCGGCAATATGGCTCACAAAAATATCTACTAGAGCATACGTATACACATTTAAACATTTAGCCAATATATATATCGTCGCGTCGCGGTAAAAGCTGCTAACTCCTTTTAGTAAAATTTTGCAGTAGAGTGAAAACCATCATTAAGTAATAACTACGCAACTTTTGAAATATCCTTTTATAGCCTTATTTATCCTTATTTATTGACCTTATTTTTTT